TGTCTCCAGCAAGCCTCAAGCCAGAGATCAGAGGGACAGGTCAGGAGCTGAAGTGGGGCACGCTGTGTCACCAAGGGCACTTGCAGCGTCTCCTGAGCGCTGTGCGCCAGGCATGGCCCTAGAGCTGCCTCCAGAGAAACTGGCATGTGGTGTGTGCGTGTGAACAGCATTCGTGTGAGTGCTTGTGAGTGTGCATATTGTGAGTGTGTGAGTGTGCCTGTGTGAGTGCTGGTGTGAATGAGTGTATGTGAGTGTGAGTGTATTCGAGTATGAGTGAATGTGTGTGTGAGTGTGCACATGTGAACGTGAGTACGTGTGAATGCTGGTGTGAATGAGTGTGAGTGTGCCTTGTGTGAGTGTGCATGTGTGTGTGCCTTTTTGTGAATGTGTATCTATGTGTGAATGTGTGTGTGTACTGGTGTGAGTGTAACCCTATGTGTGAGTGTGAGCACATGTGTGCACATGTACTGGTATGGCTGTGTCTGTGTGTGCATGTAAGTGTGAGAGCAAAAGTGAGTGTGAGCGTGTTTGGGTGGCTGGCATGTTGGGAGTGAGTGGGTGCGGTGTGCGGGTGTACAGGGGTCCTGGCGTGATGGGTGAGTCTCTTCCAGACACGCTGCCCTCGCCGGCCCTGGTGCCAGGAGAGCGGCTGGGAATCGTGCTGTGTAGCCCTGGGAGAGCAGCAGCAGGGGCTCCCGCCTCGGGCGATGGTGGCAGGAAGCACAGGGTCCTTCCTGTGGGCCCTCCTCTGCTCTCTTCGGGGGCTGTGGCCTTAGGGCAGCACGACCTCAGCTCTTATGGCCAGTGGTGACAGCTGCACTTCCCGTGGGCCTCTACACTTCCCGTGGGGGGCCTTGGGGCGCTCACACACTGACCTGTTCTGGGGTGTCGAGAGCGTTGTCATCCTCGTGGGGACACGTGGCAGCCACGGCTCCTTGCAGGGACAGCACCTGTCTGAAACCTCACGCACAGGGAAGTGGCTTGCCGTTGGCTCCAACTTTTCCTCTGCCGTTGGGCACCCCCAGTTAGGCTCTGGGGGGTTAGTTGTATTTTCTGCCTCTGCAAATGTAAATGAGGATTGAGCCCCTGCCCCCGGCTCTGGGGTCCGTGTTCTTTGTTGTCACGGAGCTGTACAGGGGCTGGCCACTATTGGGAGACACTGCCCGGTGCATTTGCTGGCCCTGGTGGAGGCCCTGCCTGGCACCCTGCTGACTGCTCTCCCAGTCTGGTCTTCAAAACCACACGCAGGTACAAGGTTACAATTCTGGAACTCGGCGTCTGCCTCCTCTTGGTGCAGTGAAGAGAGGCCTCTGCTCCGAGGTGGTCCTGTCTGTGGCCCCCACAGGGGAGTGCAAGTTGCATACCAGCTGCCCTCGCTCGTTCCACCCATGTGCGATGCCAGCCCAGTCTGTGCCAGGCTCAGCCTGGGCCACGGAAAACACGACTGCTCTTGACCCCAGGAGTCCCTGTGGCCACCCCCTAGCTGTGAGCACGCAGTGGTCTACCATCAAGCTTGTCCACGCCCAGAGGAGCCTTGCTTCCCTGTCACGTGATGGACAACAAAACTTTCACCTGTTCACCAAAGGTTCCGCCTGCTCCGGGGCCAGGGGCACTGCCGTGGTGCTGCCCTGCATCTCAGAGGGCCAGGGGAGGAGAGGGAGGGAGACCCGGCCTGAGCCTGCGGCGGTAGCCAGGAGCCCGAGGCAGCTCCCGGGCCTGGGGCTGTCTCGAGGCCTGTCTAGCCTTGGCCAGCTTCCTCGGCCATCCTTGACTAATCCTTTTAATTGCTGCTCTCCAAAGTCCCTCTGCGGGGAACATTCGGCACAGCCATCTCTTCTGATTACTGCTTAATCCTGTTTTGAGTGATTTTAGCAAAGAAGGAAATTATTTGCTTCCTGCTTGAAAGAAAGCCATCATCAGAATGAGTACCATGAAGCACCGCTCATTTCCCCCCAGTGGACGGCACGCTGTGCTTTCCACGGCCAATGTGCGCTCACTGGGAGCTGTCCCGCCACCTCCTTGCCATTCACTCCCCTCTGCAACTGAGGGAAAAGCAGCCACCAGCAGGATCAACTGCTTGTAAAACCCATTGGTGTTAAAAAAACGTCCACCAACAGGCTGCTACAATCCTGTCGGTGACGTCTGCTGAGCACTGAGGGACTCTCGGCTTATAAAGTCCTGGCTGTTTCTGGAAATGGCAAAATGTTTCTAAAAACATGTGACCAACTTTGAATCACAGAGTTTTTCTTTGGTCTACTTGAAGCAGAATGGACAGTGGCACCCGTGAGTCTGGGGCCAGGCACGCGCCCCAACACTTGAAGGCAGGAATTAAATAAAGAGAAACATGTCTGGATGTTCGTTGCAGCACCATCCACAACAGCCAAATGGTGGACACACCTGTGTCCATAGACAGATGATCGGACAAAGCATGGCCTGTCCATGCAAGGGGACATTTCTGAGTTCTGAAAAGCAGTGAACATCTGGTCCCGCTGTAGCGTGGACAAATGTTGAAAATGTTGTGATATGTGAAGGAACAGATGCAAAGTCCACATACTGTATGATCCAGAACAGTAAGTCCACAGAGAGAGTGTATTAGCTGCTCTGGGCTTGGGCAGGGCTGGAGGGACTGCCTCAGGTGCACACTTTCAGGGTGACACAGGTGTCCTGGTGCTAGGCAACATGCTTGCTGCACAGAGAATGTGCCAAATGCCACCGAAATGTACCCCTTAAATGGCCAAGGTGGCAAATTTATGTCACATGTAGTTAGTTGGACCATGATAAAAAAATAATTTTGCATGTATCTTGAGGATTTAATAATCAAATAGTTAGAAATAGTATCCAGAGTAAAATCTCAATAAGGCCACACAGGTATCTGCCTGACCTATAATTTAATCACAACCTAATGACATGAATGTACGGCCTGTGAGTGAGCACCGGGGGATGTCCACCTTGAGTTCCGCTCTCGGCAGAGTGACTGCAGAACTGGCAGCTTGGACAGGAGGGGTGGGGTGTGTCTTGGTATCTTTGGTTTGAGGAGCACAGGATGCACACAGCAGTTCCAAGTGACATTTAGGAGCAAGGAGGAGCCATGACTTTTCCATAGCTGGGCCCCTTGTGGTTGGGCACGTCTGTAGGCAGGTCTGCATGGCTGCTGCTCATGCTCACCGGGAGTGAGGACTGTGCCCGAGCAGACCTCCAGGATGAGGTGACTGACGGGTGGCCTGAGCGGCGTGGGGAGCTTGCTTTCCGACACTTCACAGGGTGACTGCAGACTTACTTGGAGGCACTGTAACACAGACCCTGTGATTTCATGCTGCCATTGTCACTGTCTGCGCTGACTGATGGTCCGTAGTACTCTAGATGCAATCTTAGAATTTAATATCTAATAATCTCCAGGGCTACAGGTGTGAGAACTATCTAACCAGTGGCAAATATGAAACCTAGAGGCCTCAAGTTGTGCGGAAAAGTGACGTTTTCTTGACATACTCCAAGAGAGTTCAAATATTTGGAAATGGGTCCCCTGCTAGAGACCTGTGAGCCAGAGCCCAGGTTGCTTTTCCTCTTAGACAGTCAGCCATAGGCTCACTGAACAAGGAAGCAAACCTAGCACTGCTGTGAGTTTTCCTCAGCCAAAAGACTGCATTAGAACCTCGTGTTGCAGAGAGATGACCACCAGGCCAGAATGCAGGACAGATGGGAAGCAGAGGCCGGGTGGAGCGGAGGTCTTTGGACGGGCAGGCTGTAGCTCTGGGTGCAGCCCCAGTGGTACAGAGAGCCCAAGATAAGAGATGCAGAGACCTGGTAGAACTCAGAGCTGCCACAGACCTGCAGGACCCCCACTGGTGTGCCGGTGGCACTGTGTCCTTGCCAGTGTCTATTCACCAGTGTCAAGGGGAGGAGCCTGTGAAGGTGGGGAGTGGAGACTGCGTGAAAAGGCATTGTTCAGACACCTGGCCGCTTTTGTCTCAGCCCCAAACATTTGCAAACACGGGGAAGCCATTCCTCCCAGGGCTGAACTCCAAAGGGGCTGTGTCCAGCTGTGGGCACAGGAAGCCAGGCGCGTGCTTGCTTGTGGTAGTGGCCCTGGGTGTGGGGCCTGGTGCTGAACAGCATGCCGTTGTCCACACAGTTTCCTGCCGGTTCCTTGGGCCCCCCTCACCTCCCAGGATGCGGAGAGGTCAGCGTGGCTGCTTGGAGGCCCAGGCCTTCCATCTGCCTGCTGGCATCTGAACTCCTCGCCAGGGTTGTGGTCCCTGGGATGGAACCATTCTGAGGGCAAGCTGTGGGGAGAAGTAGCTGGTCTGGAGTGTGTGCATCTTGCTGCTGACCTGCCCATCTTCACAGTATCCGCAGTTCTCTACAGGGGGTAGCACCTGCTGCTGCCCCGGGAGCCTGGAGGTTTCCTGAGTCCCTCCTGTCCCCGGGGATTCCAGCCTCAACAGCACGAGCAGCACCATGCCTTCCGCCGTCAAGTGCACTAGCTCACTGCTGCGTTTGGGGCAGAGCCTGGCCCTTTCCCGCTGGGTTTTTAGGATTCCTGGCAAGAGACAGAAACTTCCTGTGCACCTGGGACCCTGGGGACCTGGGAAGAATGGGCTGTGGCTCTTCCGCAAGGTGCTTTCAGCTTGGGCAGGCCCAGTACTCCACCTGCGTCAAAGTCCCTGTTCCCAGGAGGTGTTCAGCCTCCACTACTGCTCAAGGGCCCAGGTGGGCCCAGGTGGGTCTCCTTGGGCCTGAGGAGAACCTGACTGTGACTGGGGTCATCTTCAGGAAGCAAGGTCCACTTGCTGCCCACAGATGTGCTCAGGAAGCTGACTGAGCCTCAGTGTCCCTCTCATCCAGTGTGGAGAACGACCCTCTTCTCACTGCGTGGCCTCTGTCGGGCGGCAGGACTGTGAGGCGGGAGCATCCCTCTCACCGGGAAGCCCCTGCCAACCCGGTGCGTGTCTGCGTCTCGCAGCTCCCTGCCGGTGCGTAACCCTGTCTGTCCTTCCCTGCAGACGTCTCCAGGTGTGTGGCCGAAAGGAAGTACACCCAGGAGCAAGCCCGGAAGGAGTTCCAGCAGGTGTTCATCCCCGAGTGCAACGATGACGGCACCTACAGTCAGGTGACCACCCTGCTGGGGACGTGCCACCCGGGCGGTGGGGGCGGAGGGCGCCAGGAGGGCGGGCAGCTGGCGGAGCAGCGGCCGGGGTGCCCCGGGAGGCCTCCCATTCGCACCGCAGAAGTTTCTCCCCAAGGAGCCTTGTGTGCGCAGAGGGGGGCTGAACACGTCTGTGCCCCATCGGGCAGTGTCCAGCTCTGCTGCCCACGTCCACCCGTCGTTGCCTGAGAACCTGGCGTGGGCAGAGCCTCGGCCAGCCTCTTAGACCAGGGCAACGGCCGGGTTGTTCAGGTTGGGTTTCAGGTGACAGGGCGCATGCGCGGGGAAGGCAGGGAGCATGCGCGGGGAAGGCAGGGAGCATGCGCAGCGTCAGAGCCAGGAGGGAGCTCCAAGACAGCCCAGCTGGCCGCCTGTGGCTGGAAGCTGACCAAGCCAGGCTTACCTGTGGTCATGTCCTTAGCCAAGGGACGGCTGAGAGGCCAGGTCACCTTCAGGTGACAGCGTGGGATCCCTGTCTTACACAGCCGTTTGACCACTGAGAGATGGGTATGGAGAGTGAGGGTGCCTCTGCTGGTCTGAGCAGGGCCTGAGCCTGGTCCTGGAGGCCAAGGAGGCTCCCTGGAGGAGCACCCTCCCGCAGCGCGCCACCGCCGACAGGCTCCCGCCTGCCCAGGCCTCAGTTTCCCCATTGCAGGGTGAGGGTTGTGCTGCGGTGTCTGGACGGTAAAGGGCAGTTAGGTCCTTCACAACCAAGGTGCCCAGCACCCTCGTCCCTCTAAGATCCGCAAACCCTGCCACCCACCAGGGAGTCACCTTAAGTGGCACTGGCTATCCCAGGCCTCTGAAGTGACTCCACTAACATGGAGCTGGCCTCTCAAGCTGCAAGCTCTGCTCCTGTGTCCAAGGATTGCTCACCACCTGTCCTTTGCCTGCAGGTCCAGTGCCACAGCTACACGGGGTACTGTTGGTGCGTCACGCCCAATGGAAGGCCTATCAGCGGCACTGCTGTTGCCCACAAGACGCCCAGGTGCCCGGGTAGGTCTGATCCAACCTCCGGCTCTGTGGAAATCAGTTGCCTCTTCTGGCTGTCTTCTCTACGCTTGCTTGTAATTCAAGAGGAAAGCCAGTTTGGTGGAACCCTGAGTGATAGTGAGAAGGGCTCAGGCTACTCGACAGCGTGTTGGAGGGAAAAAAAGCGGAGGTGCTTGTACACACACTCAGGGCGGAGGAGAGCACTCCCAGGAAGGCCTCCCTGGCCTGAGCCATGGGAGGGATCATGACTGGGAAATCTCAATAACCAGAGACTTTAGTCACCAGTGGAAATGACGCAGTGCTTACTTTGGCCAAGAAGGTGAAAACTTCTGGTCTTGTATACATAGGTTTTCAGAGAGAAAGTGGCTCATTCTTCATCGGTGAATTTCCAGAGGGTTTATTTGTGTTATTTTATTACTCGTAAAAGGGCTTGATGTAAGAAAATTAGCAGGATAATAATCTGTGAAATGCTTTCTTTTCCATTAATATTTTACCAAAAAGGTTATAAATGATTCAGATCATTTTTACTTGAAAATGGTCTATAGCCTAAGTTTGGTTAATTTGCTGGGGAAATCTATAAGTTTCCTTGAAAAAAAATCTCATATCTAGCCTTCAAAATTCTTACATTCTACATATGAAAATAGGTAGAACTATCATCATATGATCAAATAAAGTATCAAACATTTCCCCCAACTTTTCATGTAAAACATTGAAACAGTTGCACTTAGAGTTCACTTTTAGACTTCTTTTCTAGTTAAGGACAGGCACTTTCTAGCTGGGAGTTCTGTTCATTCTCAGGGACTTAGGAAGAGTCCCAGCCCCCAGAGTGCAGGCTGGAGCTCACGATGGCATGGCCTCACGGGAGCGATGCAGCTGCATATCCAGCAGCGTGAACCTCAGGACCTCACGTGGCAGGTCTCACGTGGCAGGTCTCACGTGGCAGGTTCCACGTGACAGGTCCCGTGTGGCTTGTGATGTGGAATTGAATTACGGGTATTTCCCAAAGCTGCTTTGTTACCAAAGGCCTCAAAAGAGCTGGACAAAGTTTGAGTGAGCTCTCATTGACATCTAGTCGTTCTTTCATGGACTCCTGGAGGAAGCCAGGGGAGGAACTAAGAGGCTGTGCTGGGGCGGCCTCTGTGAGCCTTTGTGGCTCCGCACCTCCCCCTGCGTCAGCTTTCTGGGTGGAGCCTTCCCTCCTGGAGGGGAAGCAGAGGAGTGTCTGTTGCTGGGGTGGCAGGGAGGTTGTCTGAAAAATCAAGTAGTGCATGGAAGAACTTTCCCAGAAAACCGCGTGCAAAGTTGGCTGAACGGCGTACAATGTGCAGCACTGCCGGCCCACAGCCTGCTGGCTCTCATTTCCCAGCCAGCTGTCACTAGCGCTCGGCTGCAGCAACTTCTCCGTCTTTCACTGATCCTATAGATGTTTTGGTCTGAGAAGTGGATTGGGAAAGAGAGTATTCTGTGCTTTTGCTCTAAAGGCCTGGTATTTACTGTGTGGAAATGCTACCGGTAGGAAGCAAAGACAGTAAAAGTGCGATCCACAGGGCACTCTCCTGGAACTCACGCTCCTACAAGGCAGTCGCACCTTTTCGGGTGCCTGGTGTGGCTCTGTGGCTGCTGCCCCTGTGAGGTGTGACTCCTGGTTGGGATGAGTAACCTGTTCCCCGACTCCAGAGAGCAGCGGAAAATCCCTCTATCCCCCGAGAGCTCCAGGCTTTCATTCTGCCAACTTGGGTGGGAGGGCAGGTGCAGCGCCAGCTCCTTTGGGAGCTTCATGGAGTTTGGGGGACTCTCTCCCTCTCTTTTCTCAAAGATTTGAAGTCTAACTGCAGGGGACAGGAACAAAGCCTACCACAAAAGGACTTTTTCTCCAAGGGAGGATTCCTACAGCTAACCTATTTTCTACTATCGGGAAATCGCTTCAGGTTTTTGATCTCATCTCTGTTCTGTAACCCTGCACCCTGGCCAAGAGCTTATTCCTGGCCCGAGAACAAAGTGCTTTACAATATTAAAGCTGAATCGACATGCAGGAATTTTTAATATCACAGTATCCAAAGACTCTTCATATAGAGCTTCGTCTGGGTTATGTCTTTGAAGTGGTGTACGGGCTCTCGTTATGGGAGAGGGGTAGAACAGCATAGCTGGTGCCCACCATGGGTGCCACCCCAACCCGTTCTCTCACCAAGGGCCAGGCACAGGTGCTGGCTGGAGGTCTTGTCCAGCCTGCCACAGCTGCATGGGATGTGAGTGGTCCCTTCTCACAGCTGAGGAAAGAAAGCCATTATTTGTCCCTAACAAGATTCATAACATCAAACTTTGTAACTTGGTTTAAGTATTGAAGCACTTGCACTGCCCACTCCCCCAGGGCCGAGGAGGTCCGTGGTCTTACCCACTGCCCACCTCCGCTCAGGCAGAGCCTGATTGCTCATCCCACCATGTCTGCTTTGGTGTCAGGGAGACCAAGATGTTGATGACGGAGGATCCCGGCTTGGACTGAGTAATTTCAATACGTTGTTGATGCTGACTTAACTCTGATTCCTACATTTTCCTACTTTGCCCAAGGTACTGGCCACTGTCTGATGCACAGAAGGCCACGTCTGCAGCAGAGTTCCCAGTGATTGCTGAGCAGTCCTGCTAACGAGCAGCTGGTTGGGGTCCTGTTTCTCACTAATGTGTCTCTGGCACTAAGCGGAGGACCCCACCTAGCCGAGGACATTGAAGAAACATCCAGAACAATTAATCCACAAATGTTGAAGTCAGCAAGAAGCTGCAGTTGGTTTCTGACCTCTCTCAAGTATATCTTTATAAAAATTACTAAAATGGAAAATTGTAACTACTTTGATTAAAAACTTGCTTTTTAAAAAAATCATCTCCTCAGCCAGGCGCAGTGGCCACAGCTGCAATCCCAGAGGCTCAGAAGGCTGAGGCAGGAGGATTGAGGGGCCCTAAGCAACTTAGCAAGACCCTGTCTCAAAGTAAAAAATAAATGATAATATTAATAATAATTTTTAAAAGGACTGGGGAAGTGGCTCAGTGGTTAAGTACCCCTGGTTCAATCCCTGGTACCAAAACCACCAAACAACCAAACAAAAAATGAAACAGAAAAACAAAACAAAATCATCCTTCAAAATGGCCTTTTTTCTGGGTCTAACACTTCTCTTCCTTAAAATGTTAGTTATTAAAATTTTAATAAATATTAATAAAGAAAAGCATGAACAAATAACTCCGACAAGAAGTAGAAAATGCACTGAAAACTCAGCTCTTTGCAGCCTGTGAATCTGGATTCTACCTGTGGTCTGCAGTCCCGTGAGGTGCTTCTATAGGAAAGTATGCATCCTCTCACGTGTTCTCAGAGGTCGAGGACGTGCCCATTTTGTCCTCCATGAGGTGGCTGTGATCAGGAGCAGCCCCAGAGGGTCAGCCCACTCTGCAGTGGAAGTTGTGGGTGGTTTTGAAGGTGTTTAATTTATAAGAATTTCCTAAGACACTGGGTAGATGTAAGGCAGCGAGCAAAGTGTGGTGGCCGCCCTGCAGAGGGGCTCTGCAGCCTGGGGGTCAGAGGACCCTGCTCCACCTGTGGGGAGACCTGCGTCTGAGCAGCCTCTGGGCTCCTCTGATCCTCCTCCGAGCGGGCCTCTGTCCTCTGTCCTGGTCTTCACATCTCACTTGTGGTCATCCCACTGACAGAAAATATTTTTCCATTCAGGAAAAATGTTTCTTTTCTTTTGGGAAGAAGTACTTTTCCATGTGTAATAGTCACATTTTTGATTGTCTGCCTTCTTACTCTACTTCATAGTATGTGTGATTTGGTGTCTGATTTGTGATTTGAATGTCACGTGCATCTAATAGAGTACTCCATGAATCATCCCTGATGACACCAGTCCACAGATGGCTTCAGCTTCCGCTTCCTAGTATTTAATAACTCTTTCTAAGAGACAGAGGGCTTTTTAGAAGTGAAGGGTCCCTGTCTGTGTAGCTCATCTGAAGAAAAATGGCTGTGTTTTATTCAGCCCTGCATTGCTGTGACCAGAAGACCCGATGAGAATGACGGGACGAGGCGCAGTCTCTGTTGGCTCTTGGCTTCAGAGGTTCAGTCCGTGGCCTGCGGACCCGGCAGCTCTGGGCTCCCGAGGAGGCAGAGCATCATGGGAGGGCAGGGAGGAGGAAGGCAGAGCTCTGCACACCAGGGACAAAGCATAGACCCCGAGGTACGACCCCGTGACCCTCCTCCAGCCACACCCCTCCTGCCATCCTCACCACCCAGTTAATCCATGAAGTGGACTGAAGCATGGATTGGGTTTAAGGCTCTCGTAGCCCGATCATTTCACCTCTGAGCATTCTTGGCTTGCTTCACAAGTGAGCTTCTGGGGACTCCTCACATCTAAACCATAACAGCCTTGGTCTCTCTGGAGGTTTTATGCACAGGAAAACAAGCATAGGCATTTTTTAGATTAATTTTTTATTTATATATGACAGCAGAATGCATTACAATTCTTATTGCACATATAGAGCATAATTTTTCATATCTCTGGTTGTATACATAGTATATTCACACCAATTCGTGTCTTCATACCTGTACTTTGGATAATAATGATCATCACGTTCCACCATCATTAATTACCCCATGCCCCCTCCCTTCCCCTCCCACCCCCCTGCCCTATCTAGAATTCATATACCTCCCATGCTCCCTCTCCCTATCCCACTATGGGTCAGCCTCCTTATATCAGAGAACACATTTGGCATTTGGTTTTTGGGATTGGCTAACTTCACTTAGCATCATCTTCTCCAACGCCATCCATTTACCTGCAAATGCCATGATTTTATTCTCTTTTATTGCTGAGTAAAATTCCATTGTGTATATATGCCTCATTTTTTTATCCATTCATCCACTGAAGGGCATCCAGGTTGGCTCCACAGTTCAGCTATTGTGAATTGTGCTGCTATAAACATGATGTGGCTGTGTCCCTGTAGTGTGCTGTTTTCAGTCCTCTGGGTATGGA